CTGAGTTCAGAAGAAAATCTGAATCTTTTCTCATAAAGAGTTTGCTTCAGATGCTGTAGAATCTTATCATTTTTGCAGGTCTCATTTCACTGAGCTTGAAGAGAGAGACATCTCAGATTCCACACTGGCAGCAGCCACTATTGATTCCATTTCAGATGTCAGTATATTAAACTTAAGTAGTTAAGCTTGTCTCTGCTTGATCCTCTCATCATCAGCACTCTGTAGCATGTTCTGCTCTTTTCATGATAGAGTGTCTAGTTTAGCATTCAACTTTCCTAGCTGGTAATCAATTCTGAAGTTGAATTAATAGAGAATATCTATCCAATGTAGCTATCTTTTATTTAGTTTGCATGTAGTCATGAAGTATTCTAGATTCTTATGATTTGTAAGAATTTTGAATTTCTTTGCACTTTGTAGCTCAGTGTTTCATTTCTTTAAACACTCAAGTATTGCTAATAACTCCTTATCATGAATCTTATAGTTGTATTCCGCAGGTGAATGCTTGCAAGAGAAGAAGGCACATAGGTGTAGAATGCTCTGCTTATTATATTGTAGCAGCACTTCTTCTGAAGTGTAATCTGAGAAGTCTATTTTCAATATAGTCTCACAGTCAGTCAAATTGAAGCAGAATTAAAGCAGAGATAAATATTGATTTTAAATACTTAAAACCTTCCTCAGCCTTGCTCATATATAAAAAAGAAACATTCTTGTGTGTAAGAATCATCAGTAAGATTGAGATCTTTGAGAAATCTCTGATAAATCATCTATAGAAATTGATAAAGTCTAAAAATCCTCATACATCTTTAAGAGTAGTAGATGTTGCCTATTCCAAAACAGCTTTAATCTTCTTCAGATCCATTTGTATATCCTTGCTCACTTCAATGATGAATTCAAGATATTTTATGCTGTTCATCTTGAACTCACTCTTTCTGATGTCTGCCTGCAGTCCTGCTTTCTGTAGATGCATAAGCATCTTTTGTACATGCTTGCAATACTTCTGTAAGCTTCTTGAGGAAAATATTAAGATGTCATCTAAATAGACTGAGCAGAAGTCATTCAGATATTCACATAATATCTAGTTGATATATTTTTGAAATGTGCTTAGAGCATTGGTCAAATCAAAGAGTGTAATCAGCCACTCAAATAGCCTGTATCTGGTTCTAAAGACTATCATTCACTCATCACCTTCTGTGATTTGAATCTTGTGAAAAGCTGCAATAATGTCCAGCTTAGTGAATCATTTAGCCTGTTCAATTCACTGTAGAGTCTTACTAATTAATGATAGAGAATATCAATTCTTTCAGATGATTTTGTTAAGAGCTTGATAGTTCACACAGAATCTTAGCCCACTCTTAGACTTCTTCACAAATAGTATGAGAGTGATCATGAAGGAGTTACTCACTCTGATAAAACTCTTATCTAGATAATCTGTAAGAGTCTTTCACAAAGCCAGTAGTTCCTCTCAAGACATATTATATAGTAGGTCTCAAGAGAGTTGTTCCACACTATCATCAGTCTTTTTAATCAGTTCAATTCCATGATCTCTATCTGAGCCATGAAGTAGAAGTAGAGTATCAGTAGCTTTCTTATCAAATACATTCAAAAACTAATGATAATGTTCATACAGTTTTTCTCTAGGGTCAATCTTTGATTTCACTTCTAGAGTCTTTTGAATGTTGGTTAAACTGACAGTAAAGATCTCAATGTTTCACTTCTCTCAAGTGCTCACAAGCCTAGAGAAGCTTACAGCAGAGATGGAAATCATATCAGCTTTTGCATTTGAACTGAGCTCTACCTCTATGCCACTCTCTTCAAATCTCACAATTCTTTAATGAGAGATCACAGTCATCTTTTGCTGGGCTAGTCAGAGGTCCTCTAGATATATATCATGATCATGTAACCCATTCACCATGTAGAGAAAGATCTATTCAGTTGCATGATCATCTATATCAATTTGAATACCAGTCACTATGCTTGTAGAGAGTTTCATGATGTCTTCAAAGCTGATCATTTTAACAGAGGGAATTTCAATATACAGAAGCTTATGCTTGTTAATATAGAATTAAGAAATAAGATCATAGACATTACATTCACTGTCTATCATTTCTCTAGTTGAAAAAGTATTATCTACTAGTGCATTGATAGTAAAGGGTTTGAATATCATCTTAGATTTAAATTCTCTTCATTACTTCTTTATAAGCTTCTTATTTCACTTCTTTCAGTGTCTTTTGATTGAAGCCACTCTTTTTCCTGAATTTTCACTCATATTCACATCATCATCATCATTCAGTATCAGCTTGAAGATCATCTTAGCTATCATAGAGGTGGTAGAGTATCTGAGAGGTTTGAACAGATAGCTCTTAATCATATGATCTCTAGCTCTGCATCTCAGACACAGACCTTGCTTTCTTCTTTGATTATCCTCTATCTAATTTATCAATTTGATGTGGTGGGTGCTTGGAATCACAGCATCAGAAGAGAGATCTATCAGATCATCAGCAGAAGCTTGGAACTGATTTCATTGATTGAGGACAGCATGATAAAGTAGAGAGTGTGAATTAGATGTTATATGATCTAAAGAAGATCTGCCCTCACAACATTTAGACCACTGTCTTAAAGTCTTAAGATTGGAGAGTTGATGATCAACTAATCTAAGCTTCTTGTAGTAATTCTTGTAGAAAGATGATTCTCTTACACTTATTATGCCTTTCCTCAGCTTCATGCTTAGAGTGGATTTCAAATACCTCTTTTTAATGTGATCATCTTATTTATGACCATCAGCTTTCAGCAGTAGCTGATTAAATTTGAGCAGAAAGTTGAAGAGAGCTCTTCTACTCTGTTGTAGATTATTGAGCTTTTGCATAGCCTTTTTCTGTCATACAGAATCACTAAAGAGCATGCATGTCTACTTCAGAAAGCTCTCTATCATGAAGTTGATCTTGTTCTTATTATTCTCAACTCAGAGATAAACTCAAGATGCTGTCATTTCTTTCACTCTTGAGTACATATATCAAGTACATTTCTCATTATTGCCTAAAGCTTTCTCATTGACTTTAAGCTTTAATTGAAGCTTTAGCTCCTACTGAGAGTAGTGCTTCAGATTAGAATCATCATACTTCTTGCAGTCTAATAGCTTGATCTTTAATTTTCTGACTGCAATGAGTGATTGCAAGTTCAATTGAGAGAGAATTGATATCAGAGTGTTCAAAACTTGATGTAGATTAGCTATTTCAGCTTGCTGAGCTACTATTAAATCTCTGTTCTCATACTGAACCTGTTCCTGCTGTTGAAGAAAGGCCATTTAATGTTATTTAAAGCTGCTGAGGATGTTCCTGCTCATTGCTTCACATTGATTCATTTATGTATTCATTGTACAAGTCTGTCACTTTATCTCATTCAGCTAGATGTTTTCAATGTTACTCATTTGTTCATTAGCACAATTGCTAACCCAGTCTATTTATATACCAGTGCTATCACTGGACTTCATGATGCAGGATTTAAGACTCTCAATAGCTTATCATATGTCAACATATTTGCTGAGCTTCATGATACAGAATTAAGACTTTTAGTGGTCTATCAATGAAAGAAGTGAAGCAATTCATAATGTAAAGAATTAAGCTCTAAGAACTAGAGACTAGTTCTCCTATATAATAAGGACAAATTGCTTGAGAAAGGGAAGAAAAGAATGAGATGAGAACTTGAGCTTAAGCAAGCTTGCATAGTATGATCATGTGTGCATCTGCAAACAATGACTAGGCTGAGTCAGCCAGCCTGAGTGAATCTAGAGGTTCAACCCCTTATATGATGTACACATGTTAATATGTGAAAAGATATTAAATATATATAATCTAGACTGCCACTCTGCCGCATATGATATAATTTATATTAAATAGCTAGCTATATCTCTCAATATAAAAAATTCAATCATTCTATAGAAAAATTATATATAATCAGTTGAAACATATATTATTTAATGTTCATTCATTATCTGATATTGTATAGATTCAATTGAGTATATTAACATTTTCAAACCAGCTAAATTGTGCATTTTAATCTTGAAAAATAACTAAAAAGTCTATATAGTACTCATCAGTACTAATAGCTTCAAGAATTGAAACTCATTTGCAATTAAAAGAGATTTAATATAAATTTGATCTTTTCTTTGCTCAGCAAGCACTCTAATGTTTATACATACTTTTAAAGCAATGTCATGCTCATTCATATTTTATATATTTTCAGTAACTATCTCATAAGTCTATTATATTTCAGAAAAATAATTATAGAACTACTGAAGTATTTTCTGCTGAGTATTCTCTATTCTTTAAAACTCAATTCTTTAGTCAATCACAGATGTTATCATTGAATTGTGTTTTAAAAACTCTCTTATTTAATTCTTACTCAGCTAAATGAGATCTTAATTCATTCATAGAATTTAAATCAATATTTTTCATATATATATATGAAAAAATGAAAATTCTTGTGAATTTTACTTTTTCATTCATTGAACTAAAAAGATCTCTTGCTCTGAAGTCAACTTTTGTCAATGTTGATGAGCAATTGTTTGTTAAATAAAATCATTTTTTCTGCTCTTTAATATGCTTTGTGAGATGTTATATGCTTTAGCAACAGCTTATTCAAATTGAAAAACATCATTTTTTAAATTCTCTATAGCAGCAGCTATAGCAGCTTCATTATTAGACTTCATTTTAATAATGTGGTTGAGAAAATACATGATAAAGATGGTGAGTTAGATTTGAATAAAGTGATTGAAAAAGAATCTGATCAAAATATAGACCAGTTAGCTTAGATGAACTTTAATTCATATTATATAAATAATTATGATGTAATAAAAATTTTAACTCTCTTTTCTATAAAAGAAAAAAAATTATATAATAAAATAAGATAAAAATACAATATATATTATAAAAATCAGAGTAATTACTTAATTATCTTTTCATAAAAATGAAGATATAAAAAGGAAAAAAAATCAGTATTATATTTTATTGCTGTTTTTTAGCTACCACGGAGCTAGTATCTCTCTCAAACGCAGCATATGATACCTTCAAGCTTAAGAGAGCAGACAATCCAACATACAAGATTATGATAAATAGCAAGGCAGCTAAGAGACCCATGAATATTCCTGCGAGTAACGTAGCGTGAATGTGTGAGTAGGTGTAATGTATAATATAGGAAAGTAAACATCTAAAACGAAAACCACGTTCAAAAAATAGAGAGAGATGGAGGGGGTATATATAGACGCACCTGGACTAAAAAACTGATATCTCTCAAACAAAGGTCCCTTGTTTCCCTTCCACTTGTCATCGTCTTCACGGTGTGATTGCGAATGAGGCATGTTGCCCCGTTTCATATTCGTCCGCATCAGATTTTGATAGATATTCGCGTCCATCTGGTCGTATACGGCCGGCTCTTCTATTTCTATCTCCATGGCCGCAAACTCCCTGGCTGTTGTGACGTAGAGCACGGTGTAATCGCGCGAGGAAAGACGGTCGATAATGACTGCTAGAAATTCATCTGAAAAGAAAGTAAAAGAACCCCTCAGCTGATATCCTGTATTCTGTATAAAGAGCATTGCGTTCACCAACCATTTTTCACCAGGTATTCGGAGCGATTTGTGTTCGTGGCTGCAAGGCTGGGGAAGTCAACCCTGATAACCTGCGGTTTCTTCGTGTATCGTTCTTGTGGAACGCCATCTACAATTCCCAACAGCGGCGAGCCAGCTATCAGACCCTTACATTCCCTCACATTCTTCATACCACGACCTGACAAAAAACACTAGGCTTGTAGAACTCACTCGAGGAGTCAACCTTCGATACCTCCACACCACACTCCCGCTCAAGAATCTTCTGCAACCCGTCCACATCCAAATTACCCACTACCTCACTAACGGCAAAAACAGTATGAATTTCATTACCCTGTTTCAACACCCGATGCCGTAATTGTGGCGCAACTTTGTCGGAGCTGTAATCGCTAGCGTGCACTCCTGGCTGTGAGATGATGATATAGCTATCTGAGGGACAGGCGGTTAGGGTGCGGGAGACATCGGCGGATACGGATGAGGCGGATTGGAGCTGGCGGGATGTGAGGGGGATACTGCGATTAAGGCTTGTCAGCGGCTGTCCAGCCGGCAATCTTCAAGCCCTGGTGGCGGGATGTTCGTAGCTAGTGTCTGTGGAGCGGACTTACTTGTGAGTCGAGAAAAGGAAGAAAGGTGATGTGTCTCTGAATGCTTCGACGGCTGCTACTAATGCAATAGCAAACAGCCCCAGCCCGTTTATCCACATTGTTGCTGAAACACCTATGTGTAGTGGATGGTTGGCGGAGGATGTTGGAAGGCTTTACTTCACATGCGAGGTTAAAGTTAAGTTGGAGTTTGCATACTGGTGAAGTCGGGTGGTTGGATGTTGGAGGTTGTGATGAAACCGCCTAGTCGATCCAAAATAATACACTACAAACTAACTGTTTCTAGGTTAAATATCTCAGTCTTGGCAACAGGAACACCTATCAGCTTCTCCATAAATATATGAGTGGACGCAGTAGAAAGCTGTTGTCCTGAAAAATTTGCTGACTCTGGACTCTGTTCTGTTAGAAAAGATATTTTTGTTCTACTTTTAGATACATTGCTTGACCTGCTCATTCTTCGTGTGTTACAAAATTTTAGTTAAATACTTCAATCCATCGCCCTCCTTGTTCAGTCCTAATTCTCACTAACCACTCAGCATTAATTTCAGGATTCGAACCTCGAATCCTGAAATTAAGATAACTGATAATAGTAATAATATAGCTAATACATATAGAAATATCATATTCCATACGGACACACAATCACTAACATGTAAACGACTCTTTCTCCTCTTTTCTCCGTCCTTAAATCATATTTTGTGAACCCAAAAACAACTATTGAGAAATTAACCTTGCGTGAATCATTCAATGATAAGTAATTGAGGTACGAGTTAGCAGATTTGTAGGATATTTTAAACGTTCACAGGAATTTATACAGTTGAATATTTAATCCATTCAATTTCCAAGGGTACTGTTGTTGTTGAGGGCATCCTAGTGCTACAAATGCGTGCTCTGCTAAATATTTAGGCCTAATCCTCACCATAAATACTCCCACAGGCAACATGGATTTCTCCTAAAATATTTCTTATTAGATCCTCTTCTCTTCTCTCCAATTCCCACTCTCCCTCAACTCCCAGCCCCAACAAACCCAGCCATGGCGAGGACTCACTCCGAGTCCTCTGAGGACTTCGAGTTCATTGAGACTCCTGCTGCCCCGACTCAGTCTCCACCCTCAGAAAGCAGTGGTGTGCGAACCACATCGGTGAGATCCGTCATTCCTTCCATTTATCGCATCCCAACCAGTCCCCAATTGGCCCTTTAACAACTCCAACACCACCCTGCAAAGTACACGTATCAACTCTGCCTCTGCCAGCTGTCTAATTTCTTTAATAAATCAATTCGATAGTATCCCTCCATCAAAAATGGCCCCTTACCCGCTGACGGTGCTGGGAGTGATAGTTTCTCCAACGCGCTCCTGATCTCTCTCCTGGTGCTGGTGCCAGCCTACCTTGCCCGCCAACTGGGTGGAGGCCTGTACACCACCATCTTGCTGTCCCTTTTTACCTCGATTCCTATCCTGATGGTCTTCTGGTCCGTCTCCTCGTCCATCTCGCCCCGCAAGAACGAGAAGGTCAAATACCCCGGCCGCCCCGTTGAGCATTACCTCCATTTTCACAACGAGCATGACCGCGCCCGATACCATGGTAAGAGCAAGATTCCCATGGAGACCTTCCATGATTTATACTTCGATGGCGCTGTGGATTTCAAGGGGGATTGCCTGGATGTCATGGAGTATCGACATGATTGGGCTGCATTTAGATTTACCATGAGCTTGTATAAGTTCTTTTTGACTGGCATGATTCCGGAGGTTATTATGCATACTCGTAGTCAAGGTAATTTCATCCCTCCATTTTCCCTACATAATATAAATACATAATTCGCTAACAACTCAACAGATGAGGAACAGGTCCGTGACCATTACGATCGCGGTGATGACTTCTACTCATGGTTTCTGGGCCCTCGCATGATCTATACCTCCGGCATCATCAGTGATATCAACAGGGAAGAAACTCTCGAGGAACTCCAGGACAACAAGCTGGCCGTTGTATGTGAGAAAATCCAGGTGAAACCAGGTGACAGGATGCTGGACCTCGGATGCGGCTGGGGAACTCTCGCCAAATACGCCAGTGTTCACTATGGCGCCCAAGTTACCGGCATCACTCTTGGCCGCAACCAGACTACATGGGGCAACAACATCCTCCGCAAGGCGGGCATCGACGAATCCCAAAGCCGCATCGTCTGCTCCGATTACCGTGACACACCAGTCGTGCCCGGGGGGTACAACCAGATCACCTGCCTTGAGATGGCCGAGCACGTCGGCGTCCGCCACCTGTCCAGTTTCTTCTCACAGGTCTGTGACATGCTCAATGACAACGGTGTCTTCTTCCTGCAAATTGCTGGACTGCGCAAGTCGTGGCAATACGAGGATCTGATCTGGGGCTTGTTCATGAACAAATACATCTTTCCTGGTGCTGACGCTAGTACACCACTTGGCTTCGTTATTGACAGACTGGAGGGCGCCGGCTTTGAGATCAAGAGCGTCGATACTGTTGGCGTGCACTATTCCGCGACTCTGTGGAGATGGTACCGGAACTGGGTTGCCAATAAGGACAAGGTCGAGGCGAAGTATGGCAAGAGATGGTATAGAGTAAGTTCCCCCATTTATAACTGCAATATCTTCCCACCATGCGTATACCAACAATTAGAAAAAATAGAAAACAAATTACTAACCTCTCTAGATTTGGGAATATTTTCTTGCCTACTCGACCATCATCTCGCGCCAGGGCAGTGCGGCCTGCTGGCAAATCACCTGTGTGAAGAACATCAACTCCACTCACCGCGTCGAGGGCATCCCATCTCAGTTCGGCCTGTCTGGTGCCCGCCAGGCCAGCATTAAAGCTATAGGCAATGGTTCCGTCCCATCTGCGTATCTGTCTTCTAAGGCATGAAGTGGCTGATTTACTGGAGGATTGACTGAAATGTGTTGGGGTGGGATTGCAATGGAGTGGAACATATGTGGATGGTAAGTAGAATGAGATAGAAGGGTAAAATCAACGAGGGACGACAAAACAAGGGGGGAGAATGAAAGCAATGGGCACGCACTGTACGAAATGAAATATATATATATATATATAGAGAAGATCTCAGCATGTATGTTTTGTGATGGTGTCACTGCTGTTATAAGGTATCCTGAGAGGCAGATTCGATTTACTTTTCCGTTTCACATTTTCTTTTCCTTATTTAAGTTCTTTATAATGTCTTTTCCTGTGTCACAACACATTGATGCAAATGTTCGGCTTTCGTCACTTATTCCTGTTATTACTACCGTCCCAGCTGCTTAAACACTGCACGGGTTCACTTGCCTTCTTGATGATATTGATGGAGCTTGTGCGGCTAAATTCAGCTGTCGGCGGCAAATACCCAACTTGTTAAGCGGAGTTGATATACATATAGTTATATATCATTTGTTATTGCTTTTTCTATTATCCTGTTCTCGTCTTTGGAGAATGACCTGGACCTGGGGAAGGGGTGGTTTAGTGTTCACTTTGTGAAGTGGCTACAACAGATCTGCAAGGCAACATTTTTCTGCTGAGAGCAATCTCAAATTTTGAGGTAGTTCTGAGAAATACGGGAAATGGACAACTTTGTCCACAGTGAATTTGTATTATCAATTAAGATTTTAAAGAATAATAATTTTGAATAAAACAGCTATAAATGAAAATAAAAAGTGTCCCATACGCCGATTTCTCCCAGGTGAGTGAAGTTGAAACATAGATACCCAACTTCAACATGGAGGTCAACAACTTTTTACACAGGTATTATGGAATTTGGACGCAAAATAGAAAAAAAGTCAAATGATGCCCCAGAATAAATGCGTTACAATATATATAAATTTGATTAAAAAGGAGGCTATACCAATTCATAACACCAGATCATCAGCCAAACCCTGTGATAGCAACCCACTCAACGTAATGTCGTTCAGAATTCCCAAAGGCAGAAAAGAAAGACGAAGAAAAAAAAGGCACGTAGAAAGAAAATCTAATATACCTTCACAACGTAAGTTGAAAATTAGCGTATTCTTCATCCTCCTCGGGAAATGGGGGTTTCTCCTCGAGGAAAGCGTCCAGCTCAGCATCAGTAACTTCATTGTCGAATAGTCCCGCAGCCTTGCACCGTGACCACATCTCACTGCCAAAGGGCGGGTTACCGTACAACTCCATATATCTAGCAGGTGAAAGAATATCAGACTTGCTCGAGTTCGAATTTGTCTGCAGGTCACTTTGTTTATTATTAGCAGCATTGGTCGGCTTTTGCCGTAAATTGGATATTACGCTTCGGCCCCTGGAATATCCAACAGTCGTTCGCGAACTGGCCGTGGCAGCGACCTGGCACATTGTTGAGAGATTTGTCGGAGTAGGTTGCTTCATGGGAGGAAACAAACCAGACGAGAATCTGATTCTGGGCGTGGAGCTGTCCTTAGGTTTAGGTTTGCATTTTGGGAATGGCGTTGATGTTGATGTTGGCGAGGACGCGGGAGCAGGCATAATGGTTGGCCGTGATTGCTGCTGGGAAAGCAGTCTCGCAGCGGTACGGGATTCGATAGTTGATAGTGAACGGTCGACAACGATTACCTTCGATGTCTGTTGCTTCTGTACTTGTTTCCTTATAATATCCACAGCTATATCTTCCGCACATGGCTCATCGGGGAACTGGCGGACATTAATTCCCAGCAGCTCCATGTTATCAATTTCCTTTTGGATCATGACTTCCATCTGCTTATCGTATTCCTCTTGCTGCCTTTTCATCTCCCGCTGCCTGCGTGTCAATCCATCTTCGCCAACTTCATTATCAGGGTATAGCTTGTGCCACCCTCGAGTGAAATTCTTGCCTTTGAACTGTGGGAAAGTTGTGTCATAGGGAATATTTTCGGGAGGATCTAGTAGTGCTGTGGGAAATACACGAGTTGTATTAGGAACTGTCTAACTAGTTATCAATGACAGGAGACGATAGAACAAACCAATGGGCCTTGGAGGCATATATTCAATATCGTTAACATCTTCCTCGATGTCCACCGGAGCAGCCGTTTTTGACTGACATTGTTGAACTTCAGGGGCATTCTGCTTAAGCTTTTGGGTCGTAGACGAGCGTTTTGTTGTCTTTGTATATCTTGATGAGCCTACGGGTGCTGCCGGAGTTTGATATCCCTTTGCTTTTGCATTCGTCGTTTTTATCCCCAGAGGAGCACGATTCTGCTGGCCTGAAGATTGTCAGAAAATAGACATGAGATCAGCTCCAAGTACCCTGTGTTAAAGCTGAATACTGAAATTTCAGACAAACTCACACATTGGCGTAACCAATGCATTTTTGCCTGCAATGCCATACTTCCCCGATTTCCTCGGGTTTTCATTCTGTCCATTGTTATTGTCCTTCAGCGTTTGCTTTCCTCCCCCAAAGGTCAGGGGATTGTTCTCGTCATTCAATGGTACTTTAAATGGAGTTTTGGGTACTCTGGTACCCGGAGTTTTTGGCTGAAGTTGCCTAGTACCCTGGTTCAACGGCTTTGAAACAGCTGCCATCTTGTGGGCACGGACAAGGTTTTCTTGGTCTCTTGCGGCGAACATCTTTTGAGGATTGATTGATGGATGACTTTTGGGGGATTCTATTACACCGGCAGACTAACCCACCGAATTGCTAGGTGGCAGAAGACAAATCTAATTGTGGATGAGGGATAAATGCACGTCGCTTAGGCAAAGTAGGGCACAGTGAATAGATATAGTAGTTGAATATCTCGTCTACTTGTTTGCTGTCACCCGCGTTATCGATGAAAGCATTTATTTTGGGTGGTTGGTTGCTGAGGTAACATCCATAACATACGTCATCGCATGTTAAAGAATAGTCACGTGGTACTTTTTAAATCAGCTAATGCCTAATATAGTCTAGCGCACTACTGAAACATCATGAATGTGCTATTCTAGCCAGAACAGACCTCTTAGAATACATTGTAAATCATTTTTCAATCACATAATCCTTACAGCAGCAAAACTATTCTAAAGAAATCTCTTTTTATCAGTTAGTTAAGCTTATTTCTAGGTGTTTTCACAGCAAAATGAAATAAGAAAAATGTCAATAATATTTAATAGAACTAAAGAAAATTATAAATAAAAGATAAATTAGATAAATTTATGATAGTATTGATACATAGTTTGTTATAATATTATTTTCATCATCTGATCTCTCTCTATACATTTACAGCTCTTAATTTCAAATATAAATAAGTCAACTTCACTAAAAGACTTGACTTACTTTGTCATTTAATCTGATTTTATTTTAGTTAATATAATCAATCATCTAATGAGACAAATTGTCTACTGAGACAGATCTTCACTATGCAATGTGTTTAACTACTTAATTGATTAAATGTCAAAATGTCAGCAATCAAAGATAATAATTCTTTATACAAGAAAAGAAGTCTTACTCTAGCTATTGAAGCAGTTAAAAAAAATTAAATTTCTAGTTCTATAGCTGCTGTCAGATTGTACAACATCTTTTATTTCACTTTTTGTTATCAATTTCACAGCTGTACAATGTGAGAAAACTCTCAGTTAAGAAATTAAAAACTAATTTCTATTGAGAAATTATTTCTTATTTAGTGAATAATCTTTATGAATAAATATGATCAGCTTCTCTGAGTAAGCACTGTATAAGAAACAGTCAATTTTCTTCTTATCAATTAAGATAACTCTTTCAACTCAAAAACTGTTAGACTCAGCGCCTGACTGAGCCTGACTGAGGCTCAGTGCCCAGTTAGACTCGATGTCAGATTAAGCTCAGCGCCTGGTTAGGCCAAATATTCTCATGTGATCAAATGATCATGTGGGTGATTATAACCCAGACAGGCCTCAGCACCTTCTTTCATTCCATCAAGCTTAGTATTTCATTATATAGCAGTTAGCAACACAGAGAGTTTTCTTTTTATGCAGCTTGCATTCACTTTCTAACATAATACTAAGCTTCATTCTATCTCTTCTACTCAGAATTGAGTAGAACCTGCTTAGTGAGAATCTGACAGCACAACATACAACAGCAACTCATTTTCCTTACTACTCATCAGAGAGACCCAGATCAGAATGGCCACCTCAGACTTTCAGCCCTCTGAAAAGATCAAGAGAGACTGATGATATGTTTTAACTAGACCAATCAATCAATCATGAGTCTCACTTGAAGAATTCAGACAGACAATTCACTCAGATCAGAATTATGTCTACAAAGAGTTAGCAGCAATCTTTGACAGCATCTTTGATGATAAAAAAATGTTGAGAGATACAATCACATGTCTGAGAATGAAATGAAACAATGTCACTGACCAGACTGCTGTCAAGCAAAGTCAGATTGATGAGCTAATTGCTGAATGCAATGAACTTAGTCACACTCTATTCCACATGACAGTCAGCAATCAAGCAGCAAGTTGAGATGTCATCTTCTCTGAGACTATCTGGAGGTCTGTCAAGATTGATGATTCAAAACACCTCACTAACAGTAAGAAGTCAAAATTTGAACACTGGCTCTCTCAGATGAAGAACAAGCTCTGAGAGAATGCTGATCACTACTCTACTGAACACATGAGAATTGCATACATTGAGAATCAGACTGATGGAGATGCAGCATATCACATTGAACTCTGTATAAAAGAGAACCACTCTGAGCAATATCAGACTGCAGAAGAGATATTTGAGCATCTCAAGTCAATATATGAGAATGCTAACAAGCTGCAAAATGTCAAGAGTGATTATCACAAGCTGATTATGTGCAATAGAGACAATTATCATGAATTTGTCATAAAATTCTTACATCTGACAGATGAGATCAAGATTGTCAAAGAGAACTACAAGACAGACTTTAATGACAAGCTGTTCTTTGATCTTCAGAGGACAGTGACAGTAGCTAATGC